TTGCTTTATTGGTCCTGGTTGTAGTCCCACCATCAGCTGATCCAGTAAAAGGTCCTCATCACCATCAGCACCAGCCTCATCTCGTTCCCGCCATCTGGAAAATAATTCTCTCAGTCTCAAGATGAAAGAACTAATGTTCTCTTCTAGCTTCTGCCTACAGTTGAAGAAGCTGGCGCGTAGCTGCGCTCTAGTTACTGGTTTGGTGTGCAGTGTCTGTAAAATTTCTAAAACTTTCTGTCCAATATCCTTATCTCTGGAACTAATGAACTGCAGCTCTCATTTGGGCTCCCCCTCTAAGGCACCAATAATAAAATCTGCTTGCTGCTGTTGGCTCAGCCCCTGTGCCCGCAACATGGCTTCCACCTGAGCCCTCCATTCCCCAAATTTAGTTTGATAACCGTCAAATTTAGGAATCCAAACAGCCCCCATAAACCATGGTAAGACAAACTGTGCAGTAGCCGGTGAGGATGCACTACACTGAGCAGCATCCATTGTTTAGCTTTCTCAAATCCTTTAACAATGGAGCTGGAATCCTGCCAGCAACGTCACCATGCAGGTTTCCTTATTCCAGCATTTATAAAAGCTTCAGTGTTACAGAAAGACTAAATCCGGATGGTACGATCAGAAGGTTTATTCTCACACAGTTTGTAAAAAATGTCCTAAAAAACAAGTCTTTGCAGCTCAGATTAAAACAGTTTGTCCCCACCAAACTGGAACTTGAATGGGTGTGTGGTGTATTATCCTTCCTGTCCTGCAGGGGGGCTTCCACAGATTTCCCTCAATCTCCGCTGCTGATGATAGTCTCCCAAATATGGCCCGACTTCCTCTTCTGGGGCTGCCTCATTCCGTCAACGATTGTGTCCACTCCAATGCATCATCAGCCGGGGGTGTGCCGCTGTCCCGCTCCTCTTCTTTCCTCGGCTCTGTCTCTGCCGCTGTGAGGGAAACACAAGGAAATACCTCAGGGGGAGCATTCACTTCTCCCAGAATCCACAGGCACAGTTGCAGCAACAATATTTCATGTTCCTTTACTTAGCTGTTTAGCGGACGTTGACTTATTTTGGTCTTACGGCTGGAGGGACTGGTGCTCGGCAGCCTCGCCTCTGTCAGTGTGCCCCAGGGCAGCTGTGGCTACATCGTAGCTCATTCCCACCAGTGTGTGAATGTGTGTGTGAATGGATGAATGATACACTGTAGTGTAAAGTGCTTTGGAGTCCTTACTCTGAGAGGCGCTATACAAGTGCGGGTCATTTATCATTATCCTCCCGCGGCGTCCTCTGGTCTCTCCCAGGAGACAGAAATCACCTGTGCGGTAATCCAAGCTGATTTCAGGAGGGCAGATCCCGTTACTGCTCTGTTGCTGCTTTCCCTGTTCCACTGCACACACCCTTCACTTGTCAGTGTCCTTATGAAAGGTCCAAACCCCTCAGTGGTCCAATCCGGAGCCGTATAGGTCTGTGATTATGAGCTGCACAGCTGCTCTCAATCGGAAGTTCATTGTCCCATGCTCAAACAAACAAACAAAAAAAAAACAAATCCATGCAAGTAAACAAGCAAACATCTCAAAAAAGCATGCAATTGGTAACCACAGCAAACACTGACTTCTGCGCAATAAAGGAGCACTGCATAAAATGCCCAACTTTGACATTAGCTTGATACATTAGCGCTATCAACTAATGGTGCATTTGCTTCCTCCCTGTAATTTGAAAATTCCCACTTCCGATTAGGAAAAATTAACAGTTCGAAATTGAACGGCAAAAAGAATGAAGATACATAGTAAATTTAGTTCACAGCAGAGATGTTTGCTTCAGTGTAATCAGCAGTTTATAAAACTACAAGGACCCACGTCACATAGTTTATAAAACTACAAGGACCCACGTCACATAGTTTATAAAACTACAAGGACCCACGTCACATAGTTTATAAAACTACAAGGACCCACCGTCACACAGTTTATAAAACTACAAGGACCCACCGTCACACAGTTTATAAAACTACAAGGACCCACCGTCACACAGTTTATAAAACTACAAGGACCCACCGTCACACAGTTTATAAAACTACAAGGACCCACCGTCACACAGTTTATAAAACTACAAGGACCCACCGTCACACAGTTTATAAAACTACAAGGACCCACCGTCACACAGTTTATAAAACTACAAGGACCCACCGTCACACAGTTTATAAAACTACAAGGACCCACCGTCACACAGTTTATAAAACTACAAGGACCCACCATCACACAGTTTATAAAACTACAAGGACGCACTGTCACACAGGTTGTCCAGAGGAGAAAGGAAAAGGAGAACATAGAGCTGGTTTAGTTTGTGAAACAGCACAATATTAAAATACAAACTGTTGTATTGTATCGAAGTTTCCTTTAGTTTTATCTGTAGTTTGTAATACTTGGTCTCATCAGAGTTATTCCAGAGGGATTAGAAGAGGATTAGGAGTTCATGGAGCTGGGTTTGTTTTTGCATCATTTAGAAACTATTATGTACTTAACCAAAAAAGGTGAAATAACTGAAAACATGTTTTATATTCCATTTTCTTCTAAATAGCCACCCTTTGCTCTGATTACTGCTTTGCACACTCAGTATTCTCCTGATGAGCTTCAAGAGTTATGGGCTCGACACACGGGAGGCGACATCGCCTCTCCTCCATTCATTTTCAATGAGACATGCGAGACAAAGCGATAATCGCGGGTCTCTCCTACCAAGCGAAATGCGAAAAACGTGCGTGTGAAAGTTTGCACTCGTGCACGTGTCGTGCATGGACGACCCAGCGACGCGATCCCAGAAAGTTGAAACATTTTCAACTTTTCATCGCTGTCGCTTGGGCGAGGACCAATCAGCGGAGGTTTCATTCACTGACCAATGAGCGGACATAATGCTCCGCACATCTCCGAGCAAACATGAAGGAGAAGTTGATTATTATTATGTTTTATAGTAAAATCAGAAGTAAGATTTCACATAACTCTAGCAGCACCTTGCGAAACATCATATCTACCACTTTATTAACTCTGAACCGCTTAAATAACCTTAATTCCCTCCAACCTGACACAGCCAAACAAAACAACGGAAGTTTCGATTTCGCCATGGAACAGAACGCGTAGACGGCTTTGCCACTGGCCGCTACCGCAGATCGCCTCCCGTGTGACAGGTAATAAAAGCGACAGCGACAAATTTCGCTGATCGCGGTCGTTTGTCGCCTCCCGTGTGTCGAGCCCATTAGTCACCTGAAATGGCTTTCCAGCAGTGTGGAAGGAGTTCCCAGAGGTGTTTAGCACTTGTTGGCCTGTACTGTACACACACACAATGTGTGTGTGTGTGTGTGTGTGTGTGTGTGTGTGTGTGTGTGTGTGTAGTTAAAAAAAAGAGAACTAACTAATTATTAAACACTCCAAGGTATTGAAAATTGGTACCAGGACACCGGTACCAATTATGGGCCATTCCCATCTGTACCAGGTCGGCCCGGGCCGGGTAGCCCCAGTCGGCCCCAGCCTGGCCCGGTTGATTCCACACATCCTTGTCTTAAGCCCATGTGGGCTGATTCTACCCACCAATCAGAGGCTTGCTCTAATGGAAGGTGTGAATTTGCTGTCAGCAGTGGGTGTGTTGGCCCTGGTCGGCCTTCAGCAGACCCCCTCGAGAAGAGGGCTGAGAATGAGCCTTGGTTGGCCCGGAAAAATACCAGGCCACCCAGATATGTAAACAACCTACACTACCCGGCCCGGGCCGACCCGGTACAGATGGGAATGGCCCATTAGATACCGAGAGTTGGTACCAAATTGATTGAAATGTGAAAGGTATCCATCCCTATCCCCACCAATGGCTGGGCGACTACCCGGTTTACTACCAGCAAGCTCTGTTCCCCCGTCTCTCATGTGGCTCATGCAACCTCTCCTCTTATCCCATTTCCTCCAAGCGTTCCAGCTGCCCACGGCTGCAGTCAATCAGCTTCCCTGCTGCAATCAGCCTTCACTCACTCCTTTCCTGACTTACCAATCACACACTACAGTGCAGAGTTTTGGTACCCAGCCCAACCAACACATCACATTTAAAGCAGCGCCATGGTAAATACTTCAACAAGGGAATTAAAATACAGAAAATATTTTTACTTTACATGGGCCAACGGTGGCACAGGAGTTAAGTCCTTGTCCCATAATCTGAAGGTTGCAGGCTTCAGCTCCGCTCATTCTGTTGCTGTGTCCTTGAGCAAGACACTTAACCCTCCTCACCTGCTGGTGGCGGTCGGAGGGACCGGTGGCTCCTGTGTATAGCAGACTAGCCTCTGTCAGTGTGCCCCAGGGAAGCTGTGGCTACGTTGTAGCTCATCCCCACCATGGTGTGAATGTGTGTGAATGACTGATTGTGTTGTAAAGCGCCTTGGAGGGTTCCAGGACTCGAAGGTGTTGTATCAAATACAGGCCATTACTTACCAATAAAAATGGATCAAAAAATAAAAGTGAAGCAGAGACTTCTTAGATGGTCTGTTATTTCAATCAGTAACCACAGCTCTGTGCAATTACTATCATCCAAGCAGGAAAACACAAAGGACACAACTAAAGTTCAGAGTCTAAATGTCCAAACATCTATTAATGTGAGTCCCAGGCTGAGGCCTTCCCTGGAGCTTGTTGCTAGCGCTAGCTCTGATGCTCATGCCCCATGTCAATCAAGTATAATTATTCATAACTTCAAGATTTCATTACACCCAAGCAGAAGTGTTACGTAAAATTCACCCTCTGAGTTGTCACCACTGTAAACTATATCTGTTAAACCTAAAATGTTTTTTCAGCCAGGCTGTAAACATGATTTTTCTACTGTGAAGTTGGCATTTTTAACATGGGAGGCAAAGAGGATTTCTCTGTTTTGGAACCAGCCTCTAGTGGATGAGGGTGGAACTGCAACTTTAGTCACTTCCTTCTTTGCTTCACTTTTGACAGAGGAGTTTGGCCCTTGGCTGTAGATAATGATGCTACTGAATTTTGTTCACAGATGAAGGATGCTGCTCCAGAGCTGAATGCCAGCAGCTCTGAGGCAGAAGAGGAGAGAGAGGAGCATCATAAGTTGGATGGAGGGACAGATCCAGACTTCAGTCAGGTACTTATGCAGCAGCTGCTAGGACAGATGCGCTGGACAGTCCTCAAGGACAATAAAAATTGTAGAATAGTGATGTGACGTTCATGAACACATCAAAGGGCTTTAAAAGTGAACAATGAGAGCCGAGTCCTTGTAGAGAACTATTCATCTTGTCTTCATAAAGCAACTGCTACAGACCACTGACACAGCCACACAGCAACAGCCTGGCCAGAATAGCAACTTTTACCCTGATTAGTACTTAAACACTGAATGACACAGTAAATACCCTAAATTCTTCTACATGTTGTCAGGACAGCCTGCCTACAAACTTCTTTAACTCATTCACTGCCAGCCGTTTCCTGATCAGTAAATCCCTTCGCTGCCAGCGTTGCACACTAGGATGATGTCAATACCAAAACAAAGCGGAGACTCGCCTCTTACATCAGGAAGAATCCGCACATTTCGAACGTTACCCGTTCTTTCAAAATCTGTTGTTGAATTGTGATCGGCAGAAGCTTTTCCAGTTTGCGCCTCACTTTTACAGCAGCGGCCCAAAACAATCTCCTAACATGGATTTTCTGCCTCCTGTGACGTGTGACCATAGACTGTACATACTGGACAAAACGATTCCATAGGCTCCAATAACACGTTTTTTGTCTATAATGGGAGGTGGCCACCACCACCATTTTGACCGTGTCACAGGTTCCGTCCAGCCCAGACAATTCCATAAAAGGGAAGAGAGGAGGAGCTGAGGGTGGGGCTGTAAGGCTGGGATCGAGTGACGACACCCAGGCGAACTAGCTACGAGCTAACCTGAAGCTAACCCTGGCTAACCCAAAGCTAAAGCGGAGGTGGGAGCCGAGCTAACGGATGTAGCCACCTAGCTTCAACCCAACCGGAGCTAACTGGAACACCCATCGACCTGAACCTTACACGGAGTTTAGGTGGAGGTTTTCGGCGCCTGTTCGTGAAAAGTACCTGGATTAAAAAAGTATTAAATCGGTAAGTTTATAATTTATTTCCGTAATGAAAACATTTTGCTTTGAGCAAGTTTTTAGTACCGTGTTTTCCGGGCTATTGGCCCTGAGTCGCACCAGCCATTAAATGTATAATGAAGAAGAGAAAATGTATTTAAGTCGTATTTTGGGGGGACATTTTATTATTTTTCTTACAAAATCTGAGACCAAGTGTTTCACATTGCAAGACAAGCACCGGTAACCATAACAGAATGAACAACCGCGCGCCTCGGGTCAGAGTCGGCCCGCAGCAGCGCGGTGTAGCCTACATATTTTGTTATATAAGTCACTCCGGAGTATAAGTAGCAGGTCCAGCCAGATTATGTAAAATAGTGTGAGTTATAGTCTGGAAAATATGGCAGTTATTAGTATTCGAGCTAAATTAGCAGCCTAAATACATTTCATATATTTCCAAAACGTAATACTTGTTTGTATCTTGTACAGCCAAGTAGCCTTTATTCTGGACTCAGTACAATTCAAAAGTAAAGAGACATTATACAGATGAAGTAAGCACAAGATAACTTACTGGAAGACACGGAATTATCATGAGAACCAGAACAAGAGAGCCTGATAACAGTCATGTGAAAATAACAGTTAAAAAGTATGTATGTGTAATAGAAATAAAAATATATTAGAATTAGTGTAACTCACTGTGTTCCAAACAATAAATCAGCCATAGCTGATTAGTAAATATGACATGAGGTCTGGGAGTTTTTAAGTTTCATTCTTTTATTACATTTTTTTCTTAGATCTATTAAAAGGTCACCATGGCAACCTGTGTCTCCAACATCAGCTACTCAACGCAGCAAGTGTAAGTTCCAAATACCTGTCTTGACCACTTCATGTATGGTTTTGTACTTTAAACAATCATGACAAACCTGTTATTTTTTCTCCATAGCCATTTGGATCATTGGAGACAGCTACGTGAGGCGTGGTGCCCAGAGAGCTGCAGAGACCGTCGGACACAACCTTGGCCTCCCTGACGTCTGTGTCTCCTGGTTCGGTTGGGGCGGACCATCGACATACATACATGTGCCGACACTTTGCGCCCTGTTTTATAAAATGTAGTGTTAAAAATAAATGTTTTTGCTCAATTACTGGAATTTCTTTGGTTAAGACAAAAGTGAGGAATAATCATTTACAAGTTATTTGTACAACAGGCCCATTTTAAATCCCAGCAGTTTCTTAGCAGACAATAGAAATGTGTTCTTTACTAACTTCACTTGGTTTAAAAATCTTACTAAAATAAACAGAGTGCCGTATTTCAAAACCCAATCATACTTGTTATGTAAACATTGGCTTTGTAGATATTTCTTACAGATCTATATTTGTGTGCAACAAAAATCAAACAAATAATTTGTCATTCTTTATTGAAAAACAATAAAATACAGTTATACAGAAAGTGTGGGAAAATGATTATGTGAAAGTATTGCTCTTTAAATGAAGAAAAGAAAAACTCTAAAAATGTCATGTACAGCAACATGACAGAAGAATGGTGGTCTGTCTGTCAGAATGTGCTGAACAGATTTGCTCTATCAAGAGGAGCCTTAATGTGTACGAGGTTCCCCTTGAGTAATATTGGTTTGGGTTATGTATCGCCACATCAGCATGTAAATGCTGAACCAATCTGGAATAAAGACTGCTGATAGAGGATAAACAAGTAAATAAGAGGAAAAATTAATACAACTAGGAAACCAACATAAAAAAACAGCAACCAGCAGCTGCACCTGTGAAGAAACATTTCTAAGAGTCATCAAGAAAACGTGGGATGAACAACTATAAACATGTAAACCATGAACCACAAATATGAACAACAAACATTGACAAGCATGTGTTCGTGCGTGTGCTGGGATGTGAAGTGTTAGACTGGATCAGGTGCACTCTGGAACCGCCACAAGCACCAGAAAACCTTGCTACAGAGAACTCAGCAAGGCCACATCCAGAACCGGGCTGACACAGGTCATGGGCCTCAGGACACAGGAATCACACAGCATTTCCACCTGAAACAGAATCATTAAAATTAGAATCAAATACAACAGTTGTTCAGTATGACATCAAAAGGATTTTTAAAGAAGGCAATTGGACTTCTTTGGTTTCATGAATATAGGAGGGTTGATCTTAAGCCTGATTCATGCTTCTCCTGCGTCAGTGCGGAGACACGCAACTCCATTATCCGTCCTTGCGTAGGGCCCCAGCAGGCACGCAAGTACGCACGGAGTCGAGCCCACTTTTTTAAACATCTGTTTAACGAGACGGACAGCGCAAGCTTGTGATTGGTCAGGATGCCGTTGTCGTCTACAGCGCCGCCATTGCGCACTCAAAAACAAAGAGCCGAGGATAACTAGCGACAGACACGGAGAAACTTGAAGAACACCTCACAAAAACCTCTAAAAACATGAACGTGTTTATTCCCCGTGACTGGAGGCGTGAAACGATCCACAGCAAGCGTTTTATTTGTAGACGGAAATGACAGGAATCGTGGGTTTAGAGGTGGCTAGCCCGTGAAGAGGTGTAGGAGAATGAGCCAAATTTGTCTGTTAAAAAGTCTGTTATGTACAAAAAACACAATATCATCACACTATTTTGGACCGATACATGACAGGATACCACAGAACAGCTCTCCGCCCTCTGCTGTCCGGTCCGGGAATTGCTTTGCAACACTCCCCAGGAGACGGAGAAGTATGAGAGCTAAACGTCTCCGTCCGTGCGTGCGTGTCTCTCCCTGTTGGAGCTGACAGAGAAGCATGAATCAGGCTTTATTGTAGCTGTCAATTGTTGCTTGATAAGCAGAAACTGTCACCTTCAAAACACCTCCTCTGCACAGGTGTTTCTTTGTAATTAGGAACAGGAATAAAGTTATAGAGGTCAGAAGGTAAAAGATCAGCTTAAATTAATTTCACCATTGGAACAAAGGATGTTGTGTAGGCGTGAGATCACCAAAGATGATAGGGTCTTTTAAATCTTACTTTCAGATAAGCTGATGACGTTCAAAACTTACCTTGTCATTCCTACTTACCTGTTCTTCCCTTCTTGGAACAGGTTTTTTGACCTTAAAGGACGAGAAGATTGTAGGTACGGCTGTGTCCTTCAGGCAAACTCTCCCCTAAAATAAAAAAACATAATTACTTAATTAAAAAAAAAGAGATTCACATATACACACATCAGACAAGGTCAGCTTCTGAAGAACACACTGGTACACCAGAGCACTGTGTGTGTGTGAGTGAATGTGCTTGCATGTGTGTGTGTGTGTGTGTGTGTGTGTGTGTGTAAAAGGCATGTGTAGTGTTTGTTATTTATAAAGCATATGTTGTTGGATTTTATCCAGAATCGAGACTTTGAAAATATATAGTTTAATTACAGTTTGATTTATTTGACATCTGTATAATGTTTATTATTTTGTTTTTCCCCCTAAATGCCTAACGTTTTAGTTTAACATGAATATTTGTCATTCATCCCAATACATAAAGTTACACATTAAAGACTGTCCAAAAATTAATTTGTTTCTCTGAGTAATTAACCATAGAATTAGATGGAAATTAATAACATGATTGTTTCTCATCTAAACAGCCCTAGTCACAGACAATTCAAGGGTGGGGAAGATTTTCTTCTAGTTACACAGCAATGTAACGTCGGTATGTTATACAGCTAATGCTTCAATTTTTTAAATCTCAACCAAAATATGAAGTCATGTGTTTGTACCCTGGAGTCTGTGGTGAAGTGATGACTCTCAAAGTGTTCACTGCACAAGCGGGAGAATGAATTGGGAGTCCAGCACTCTCTTCTTTGGTTGCTCACCCAAAGGTCAAGCCTCTCTGGATCACCTAGAGGAAAACTTCATACAAAGAACTAATTAAGTATATGGCTTTAACATACTTACCGGAAATTACTGACTCGAGCGTACTGCAATATAAGCCTCACACCCCCCCCCCCCCCCCCCCCCCCCAAAAAAAAAAGAGCGAGTTTATCTGATGGCATACAGACTTCTAACATCAAGCACTATCTACCAACTCACCGAGCTGCAGTATTTCTGCGGTCAGGTCCGGCTTGGGGAGAAAATATGACACGTCTTTCAGGATGGACTTCATCTTTGGTAGCTGGCGAAGCCGGGAAAAGCAGGATCTAACCACCTGGCTAATGTGGGAGTCCATCCGCATCTCTGGGTCCAAAACCACCCCCAGGTTAGTGATGGTTGGCTTCACTAAGCTGCAAAAACAGGGTTGCAGGACAGGACTAACTGCAGTGGGAGAGGGAGGAACAAATATTCCAGTTATAAATATTAAATATTTGAACAAATAAATATTTGTTAAAAGGAAGAAACTGATGATGACTTTAAGATTAGAGGAATGTTCTAGAACGGGTCTGGAACCAACGATGGCCCTTTGAATGAAATTTGGATTAAAAAAATAGCTCATGATTTTATATATGGATGGAATAAAAATACAGGTTTTAAGCATCTTCTCAGTATCTTCATGTTGCACGACTTTCCACAGCAGAAGGACACAAAAACTGCCAGAATTATGATTAGATAGATTTACGTTTTAATCTCAGAATCCCAACTTTTCCCAGAATCCTCACATTATTCTATGAATTCAGAGAAAATATACATTTTTCAGAGGTCTCGCTCCCCTGCTGTGGATATTTCTCAAAATTCAACCATGTTTTCTTTTCAAAAGCTTTAGTAAGAGTTTGGACTCAAAACAAGTTTTACTTTGCAGACTGCTTGTCTACACCTTCATCAGATCTGCTCATAATAAAACATTTGGGTTATATTTAATGTCTAGAGAAGATGCTCTTCCTGGGCATTAAGTTATCAAAAACAGATAGTTTTTTTACCATAATTTTAACTGCTATCAGCTGATAAAAATAATAAAAACAGCCTGAGGGTGTAAGTGAAAAGGGGTGTAAGTGAAACCGCGCGGATCACACAAACCATCATGCTGTCTATATGACTTTGAAAATATATAGTTTAATTACAGTTTGATTTATTTGACATCTGTATAATGTTTATTATTTTGTTTTTTCCCCCTAAATGCCTAATGTTTTAGTTTAACATGAATATTAGTCATTCATCCCAATACATAAAGTTACACATTTTAAATTTTAATAGGGGAAGACTGCAGGAGGGAGCGGTAAAATACAGGGGGTCCCCAGCAAAAACAAGAAACTTTACGAGTCTGATGAAACCCGCTGGTGTTCCTTCAGCAGGCCTGGTGGCAGCTACAACGACCCAGTGGCTGTGCTTGGTCAATGTTATCGAGCTCAGTCCGGCTCGGCCGTGAACGAGCCGAGGCGACATCCTGCTCTGCTTAAGAAGAGGTGTTATTTTCCGCTTCAGAAGAAGCGTCCGTGTTTTACGCTTTCTCAGAGACATGTCACGTCGCTAAGTTGTTAGCGCCGCGCGCTAACACGTCAATAGTGCAGCATAGCCTGCTGGAGATTTTAAGGGTTCAGATGAAAACACCTTTACCCTTTTACCCATCGAAATATGCCCTATTAATTATTTTACCGTATTTTACATTTAAATTTCATGGTTAAACAGTACATGATATATGTTAAACTGATAGTTAGCTAGCTACTTTGGTAAACTCAGCTAGTTTAAAGGCGCGGCAGTGACATAAAATACAAATATAGATTTTAACTTACCGAAAAAAATGAAGTGGAGACTCCTTGGATGCTCTATTAGTGCAATTAATACCACTGCAAGTCATTTTGTCCAACAATTGCACCAATAATATCCAAAACAGAATTCACAAGCACAGAGACTCAAAATCCCGACACAGTTTCCAGGAGGGACCGAGGCTGTACTGAGGCCTTTCCACAGAGCTAGCTCTGTGGTCAAATGGGTCTGAGGCGGCGGTCACGTGGGTCTGATGCTCATTAATTATACAGCATTTTAGGCTTTCAATACACTTAAACAGAAGAGTGAGAAAAAAATTTACCCCCCTCAGAGTTGTCATGAGTATAAACTAGATAATTTAGACAAAAAACATGTTTTGGAACCAGGCTGTAAACATGTTTATTTCTGCTGTGAAATTGGCATTTTTAACATGGGAGTCAATGAGGATTTGCTCGCTTCTGGCACCAGCCCCCAGCGGATGAGGGTGGCACTGCAATTTTTCTTATGGGACCATTTTTAGAGCGGCATTGTGGGGGCTTGCGTGTGACGTACGCGGATGAAGATCGGCTTTAATGCTGAGATGTTTTTTCTCATGGTGCAGGGGCTCGTTCCGATGCCCACACAGTAAAAAATGCCCTTGACGACTTTAAAGTGCGTTACAAATCAAATCTATTAGTATTATTATTAGTAGTAGTAGTATTATAGTTGTCATGGGCATTTTTGATGCCAATGGTTGGATTTAAAATGACTTTTGTCGTCAATGGCATGTATGAGTTAAAATGTGTTAGTTGCCTAAAAGCTGAGGTACTGGAAATCGTAACTGCTCTTTAACATCAGGTCTTTTTCCTAAACCACTGAAAACTGCTGCTGTGAAACCCTTCTAAAGAAGAGGAAAATAAATCCTCATTGTTGAACAACTACTGACCAATCTCTAATCTCCCACTGATGGAAAAATCATTGAAAAGGCAATAATGATCCAAATAAACAACTATTTAGAGTCAAATAACATTATGGACGGTCTTCAGTTATGCTTTAGACAGCACTACAGCACAGAGACTGCACTGATCAAGGTATTAAACAACATTCGTCTCAACACTGATTCAGGTAAAGCGTATGTCCTGATGATGCTTGACCTCAGTGCAGCTTTTTATACTGTGGACCATAGCATCCTTCTGGACGGACTCACAAACTGGGTGGGACTATCAGGCACAGTGCTTGGCTGGTTCCAGTCCTATCTCAAAGACAGGGGCAGTGTTGTCTCTGTTAGGGACTACCAATCAAAGCGGATCACCATGATATGTGGGGTCTCCCAAGGCTCAATTCTAGGACCACTACTCTTTAATCTCTATATGCTTCCCCTGGGTCAGGTCATACTTAATAACAGCATTGCCTTTCATAGCTATGATGATGACACCCAGATCTACCTAACCTTATCACCTAGTGACTGTAGTCCACTGGACTCTCTCTGTCAGTGTCTAGAACAAGTAAACGACTGGATGCCAGGGCTGTACATTAACATTTTTCGCTTATAGCCCTGGTGCTGGAAAGGTTGCAGGTTTTGTAGCACAGAACAAAAAGTTGTAGCACCAGCCAAAAAAATTGGTTGCAATCCCTCAAAACCAAAAGTAGTTCAAATTCAAATTAGTGTAGCTTTGCTCATTACAGAGGTCCGTCCTCAACAGCATAGACATAGAAGACTAGACACCACACCGATCGTTACGGTGTATGATAGCTGCATTCCCATGGTCTACTTTTTATAAACTATGGTTAACAGGATGCTTTAGCTAAAGTTTTAGCTCCGTGGAGATCTGGAGCTCTCAAACTGTGGTAGAGCACCGTTCATAAACCCGTTCACACGCCAGAATGAGAGTTCACTTTATTATTCATCAGGCAAAATACGTGTGAGTTTGATTTACATTCACAAAAAAAAACTGCAAGTTCTTGAATGATTGTTAACTGAACTTGTTCAGGTACAACACCACTGTGTTGTATTTATAAACTTTTATCTTCTCAGACGTACCTTGGTTTGGTGCAGGTTGGGTTTTTGTGTCTTCTTGTTTGTTTTTCTGTTAAAGGGTTAAAATAGGACAGCAGCTATTGGATATTTTAGTATTTGAATATTCCATTTGACATGTTTCAAGTGCAAAGAGGCTGTAGTCTGCTGCTAAAAATATGAAATAAAACAACAAAGTTATGAGGCTGAAATGTCAGACAGTCAAACTTCCTTCAGCTAAACAAAGACAAGACTGAAGTTATTGTCTTTGGCAACAAGAGGGATAGAATGGATGTTATTGCTCAACTGGACTCCAGGGGAATAAAGACAAAGACCCAGTTTAGAAATCTAAGTGTTATTGACTCAGACCTGAACTTCTCTGGACATATTAAGGCCAACTAAATCAGCATTCCTCATCAATATATTACCACTAAACTACAGAATAGATTTCAAAGTGCTTCTACTAGTTTATAAATCACTCAGTGGCATGGGGCTAAAATACATGTTCGATCTCATTCCTGTATATACACCAAATAGGGCTCTGAGATCCCTTGGAAACAATCAGCTGGTAGAACCTCGGGTCAGAACCAAACATGGTGGAGATGCCTTTAGTTACTATGCTGCTTACATATGGAATCAGCTTCGCCATGACCTCAGATGTTCCCCAACCCTAGTGTTGTTTAAAACACAACTAAAACCCTCATGTACTCATCAGCCTTTACATGAATTGTTTCTTATGCTGCGTCATCTCCACTATGCTGTAACTTTGTCTTCTCCTTTAACTCTAAACTGTAATTCTATCTGTGTGTATCTTAATTTGTGATTTTATGTGTTTTTATATCATGTCCTGATAAATGTAAAAAAGCACATTGAATTGCCTCAGTGTTTAAAATGTGCTCTAGAAATAAAGCTGCCTTGCCATAAGTCCCATCACTAATTTAGATCATGTGTAGCATGACATCCATCCATTTTAAATACCTGCTTGTCGACACATGGTCACAGGGGGCTGGTTCCTATCCCCAGCAGTCTCCAGGAAAATAGGTGGGGTACACCTTGGACAGGATGCCAGTTCCCCGCATGGTAACACAGACACACACAGGACAATAGTGCTGGAGGCAAACAATTGTTTTTAAAACAATAATTCGAGCAAGTATTTTATCGAATAGTCAGCTATTCTTAAGACTAATTAGATGATTAATCTAATGATTATTTTTTTTATTGCAAGGTTAATAAAAAGCAGGAAATCTCTAATAAATACCCCAAAAATGTAATAAACTGTAAAAGAATAAACACTACAGGCCTTCCATGTTGTATAA